TTAAAATATTTCTTTTGTGTTGTTAATATATTTATCAACTGTTTATAATTAAACACGAAAATCGATTTTTTATTCATTTGAAATAAATTATAAAAGAACTTCAAAAAACACGACAAATTTCTCCAATTGTTTACAACAAAAACGATTATAGAGTAAATTAAGTAGCAAATTAACATCCGAACAATATAATTTATCGTATAAATAATATTGTTCAGATTATTAATATAATAATTCAAACTATAAAAATTTTAAATCGAAAAAGAAAATACTCAAATTAAGTTTGTAGCGGGTGCCGGTTATTTCCTCGACGCTGGATACCTTTCTTTTAACAAGAAAATATATAGTACTTCACGATATGAAAATCTTGGATTTGCACGATATTCATTTGTGTTGACAACAACATGTGTTGTTATGGGTTTAGTTGTTGTAGCTTTTGTGATTAAATTGTTTGTCAATGGTGGGAGGAAAGCGACAGGACTTGTTTTTACTGGACTTTCATCGACGGTATTTGTACTGACTGTTATTCTTGTCATATGCACTTTTAATAAGAAATACCCCGAATATATAATTGAGGATGAAAGAGCCTTTGAAAAAGAAGTTTGTTATAGTTTCTTTATTTGTGTAATACCTTGTGAAATTTTATGAACTTTAATTGTTATAGTAATTATATAATTATATTTGAAAGAAATCCAAAAAGTGTGTGAATATCACAGAATATTTTTTTGTTGGTGTAACAATTAAAATTAATATCAAAAATATAATAACATTTAAATAGCATTGTAATAACAACATTAATTGACAATTAGCACAACTGTTGCATCGATTTCCAAACCGACGACGAAGGAAAATACAAACTGTGCCAATGCCAGCAACCAATGGATCAAGACGGAAAATACACGGGGTGTGATGAGTGTAGGCTTGGACAAGACACAGACGGACTTGCAGTTCTTGGACCAATATTTGTTATGTATGGGGAATTACTATGTGAATTGGTTATACTCTTCTGCTTTATAGCTTTTACTATATTACTGTTTTTGTGTTCGGCGAAACTCGGAGAAAGGGGATTTGTGTTGCTTCCAAATTAGAAAGTCTCAAATAAACCATTTTTGATTTTTTGTTTTATTATTTAAATTTGAGTGTAAATTAATGTTGTTGGTTATATTTTTATCGTTTAAAATGTTATGAATTTGTAAAGCAACATAAGTGGTTCAGTTTTAAGTTGTTAAATTCTTGTTTTTAATATTATTGTTTAGCTTTAACTTATTTATTTATATGTAATAAAATAAAAATATTACGATTAATATAACTTAGTATTGAAAGACCCAACCATGGAAACAATTGTGGAACATTTTATGATCTGTCATTTCCAAAACAAGTAAATACCTCCCAAAGAGTGTAACAGACTCAGAAACTTTACCATCTGATTTAAAGTGTTTTTTGTCCCGTTGTCTTACACCCACCTCCACTGGATTCAGTAAGACCAATTGAAAAATACAATTTATATTTTCTTTTTAAACAACAAATTAAATCAACAAAATAATAAAAATTATATTTATTTTTTTGAATTTGATTCTTTTTTACAGGAACAAAAGTGTTTAAATAATAAGCCGTATAGTTTATACAAGTCTTTTTAATCAGTTTTTTGAGTGTTCAGAAACGTGTTATTTATTGAAGACCAAATTCCTTATTAAACTGATCAATATGGTTTTGTTCGTTGGTTTGGTTAAATTTGTTTTTTTGTTAAAAAATAATTATATAATTGATAAAATATAATCAAAATAAATAGTTAAT